AAAACAAATGCGAAAAGAATGAAACAAAAGGAAATAGTAATTTTAATTTTTTTGGGGGGGGGGGGGTAGCATTAAAACTTCTTCAATCCCAAGACTAAGATTAATGCCATCTCTAAATAAAGAAGAGCTGGGATGACACAAGTAGGGACTTGATACAACAGGACTGTTGCACAGACTTTATTGATAGATACATTTTGCAAAGTACTAGAAAATACATTCTAGGCTTTTTAGGCTAGGGACAGAAATTACGTATAAACTAACAGAAGTGATCAGAAACCGATTCAAATCTATAACACAGCAGAAGTTCGGTGCACATAAACCACTTTCAAACTGGCTGAAACCAGTTTAAGATAAACCTGGAAGGATGTAATAACTGATTTAAGTTAAACAGGTTTATTGAACTGCCCTAGATCCCCTTCAGATTCAAGTAAACTTGAAGTCCCCCACCATCCTGGGATGATTTGCATCTCCCCCACAAACTCCCCTTGCAGTGCAAGTGGGCTAGCCTTGGTCCAAGCTGTCTGCTCCAGCCGAGCAGGGAGGCATGCTCTAGTGCCCCCCGGTTTCCGGCCTAGACCACTGCAGGCATATGGCTGCATTTCTGGAATCAAAGGTGAATGAATGTCTGTTCACTTGCTTTTTGGTTTAACCTATGCACCTTAGCGTAACCTGTGAAGATTGAATGGAATCAGCCTCAGGCTTTTTGACTGTCTGTACTTAGCCTAAATCTTTAATGTTCAGGCTGTATAATTCATTCAGTTTTTCATTTTTCCTAATTTAGAATCAAACTCTTCCCTGAGAGCTTAAGAAGGTGCCAGTGTGAAAGCTAAATTTATAGAAATAAGAAGCTGAAATAGGGAGAGAGAATACCTTCCTCAGAATCTAAAGACTTTATTCTAGCACAAATCAGTGGAATAAGAAAAGCTCTAAAATGAACTGCCAAAATTGCCTATGGCTAATGGCAATCTTCCAAACTGCCCCAGGATTTGGCTGTTCAAGAACCATGCAAGAATTCTGCCTCCTGCATTCTTTCAGGCTTCTTGTTGAGCTTCAAAGATGCTAGGTGCTGACTAATTGCCTACTACAAGATCAACTCCTGGGGGAACAAAGATAGATCTTTACAAGTGTAACAATGTTAAGACAGATTCTCCTTTCTCCGTGGTAGCATGTTCATCACCGAGTGCCATTAAATAACATTGGTTTTAAAATCTCTCTCACTCCGTCTGTATACTGGAATTTCATACCATTTCCTGTACGTGTGGAACATCCTCCTAATCCCAGTCCCAAACTGCCATCCTCCCTTCATTCAAATTCAACTCTTCTGAAGTGTCCACACAAGGCCTATGTGTGTCCTACTAATTATGGAAGATACCCTTTATCTCTTACTGGTGCTCCCTGTCTTCTGTGTACCATTCTTGGAGTCAAACTCTTCAGGCTGTGGGTTTTTTCTGCATTTTGCAGACCTCAGTAAACAGTTGGTGTTCATCAAATAAATAATATGCTGCTCACAGAGGGTCTCATCAGCATATGGAGAGACTATCTCAAAAAGTGCTGAACATCCTCAACTGGGAGTTAAGGGTGACTGGTACCTTGGAGAGTCAGATGCATAAAAAAGCTTTTCATCCAGGTGAACTCTGAAACACCCTATGAAGAGAAATCACTCCATCCAACAATTAAATGCAGCCAGTGGGGCAGACATGAAGCTTATCTAAAAGGTCTGCTGAAAAATCCCTCCACTAACGCTATTGATGTTATCGAGTGTTGAATCTTGAAGACAACAAAAGGTGGTAAAATAAATAAATAAATAAAATCACATTTCATAACATTCTCTCCACTTCTTTATGCCCTCGGATAACATAGTGTTGAAAAACATGAAGTGGCTGTATAGAAAATTAAAACCACTGGTCAGTTAATTAATCTATAAACAACCTGCTGTAGATGTAAAATACACTGTGGTAAACCACCAAGAATTTCAAAATAACACTAGGTTCAACACTAGGAGCATTTACAAGCATTAAACATGGGATTATTTTCACCAGATAATACCTCTCTTACTTAGGGTTTGCTTATCTTGGGAAGTTTGCCAGCAGAAGTCTACTAGAACTGTTATACCTCTAAACTATAGCAATATAATTCTCCATGTGGACATACTTATTCCAGGATACAAGTGTGTTTTTCTGCTCTATCCACATGGGGAGTTATACAGTTATATGGGCACAAATATAGTGGTCTATTAAACACGGTATAGTTTTGCAGGCAAGTTTCTTTGTGTAGAAAGGTCCTTAGATATTAAAACAATGTGATAAAGTGGCACCCTCTTAGGAGCTGCATGAAGGATGCTAGGAAAACTGACTTCTAACAAGGTCATTTAGCCTAATGGTCACATACAAATTCATAATTGAACTGATGAAACCAATCAATCAGCAGATTTCAAACACATTCATAAGGTTTTCCTCTGCTGGAAGTGTTTCCTCCAAGAAGTACTTATCCAAACCTAGTTCAGTCTCTCATTCTAGGAATTTCAGTGGCATTTTCAGGAGGTCATTCAGATTTATATTGGGTTTCTATTTATTTGGCTACATTAGCTGTGAGATAGTGTAGCTCCATGTGAGCAGTCAGTTGTTATTGTTATTCTTATAAAAGTCAAATCATTTCAAAGCCTTCCTTAAAGCGACAGTTTTGTTTACTGAACACCTGGGAGAAGTTAGGGTTTTTGGTTTTTGTTTTGCTTTGTTTTTAAAATATTTCTTCTCATTTTGCAGTCCATAGAGGATATAATGGCAGACCAGCAACTCTGTGTCAAAGTCTATGGCTGTCAGTAGTTCAGGACTCTGCAGATACACATGTATCACAAGCCTGAATGAAAAGTTCAGGCTGTTGACCATGTGTATTCAAGGCTATAAACATTAACTTTGGTGAAAACGATCAAGATTTACCTGAACCCAAACTGTAGAGTCAAAACTCCCCCTCTTACATCAGACACTCAACAATGACAGGGTAAAAGGAAACATGGTATCTAGGATACAAGCTTGACTTGGACCACAAGGGCATTGGATGAAAAAAAATACGCCACTGGGGGCACAGTACACTCAAACAAAAGGGGATGACTGATGCTTAAAAGCCAAGTAAGAGTAGCTAAAGGTTGTGTGTTCACACTGCAGCAAAAAGGCATTCATGGGCACATTGAAGCACACTCAAGCTATAAGACATACCACTGGTGCTTCCTGTGCCACTGCTAGAGCTGGGTCCAGGTGATGACACCACTGTTCTGTAGGTAGGAGGCGGAGGGGGAGGTGGTGTAGCTCTCTGTCCCAACCCAAAATCTTTAGGAGATGCTGCTGATTCTAAGTTATCATCTTTAACGTGGGTCTGGTCAGAAATTTTCTTCTGAACCTCTTCTAAATTGAGTGGAGATGGAACACTGCGAGAGGTTTCAACAGCTGGAGATTCAGCTGCAGTTTCTGGTGCCAGAGGTGGAGACACCACTTTTTCCCTTGAAGTCAACTCTGGAGTTACGTTTTCCGGGGACTGATCAGAAAAATAGACCCACTTATCTTCTGCGTTAACAGCAAGAGACTTGGGGAATAATACGGGGCCAAAAATGCTGTCCAAGTCATTCATTGATGGTAGTTTGTCACTTTTGACCTCTGTTGCTTTCTGGTCACTTCCTGTGGTCAAAGTAGTTTATTTTACACTTAATATTAATTGGTATAGCTGAAGTTGCACTATACTCTATGTTTGCATGGGGCTCAGAGTCAGCTACATCCTAGCAGTAATACTTTAAAGCATGTTTTCTTATGAGGTACTAGGGGCATAATTCATGTGCATGAAAATACCTACATAATAGATTTATACACACTAATATCTATTAAAACACATATTTGATTGAAATACATACACAACATATAGAAAAACCATGCACAACATACCAGAAGTATACTTTTTCATATTATAATATTAAAGCTTCATGTAGTTCAGTAGGACGCAGATACGATTAGCTAACAATGTACAACGTTATACTGTCTGATAAAACCTTTTCAATATTGTGAATTATTGCAAAATGTTTCAAATGAACATAACAGCACAACATCATGAGATTCACACTACATATAGTGTATACATGCACATATGCTATTGCAGAACACAAAATACACTGGCAAGATACATGCAGTATCCTATAGCATACAGCGTGTGTGTATTTCAGGTGTAATCAACTGTGGACACAAGGACTTTTCTTTAGGGCTCTATTCATGAACTGAACCATCATGTATCTTTTAACTTCAATATCTGAGCAAATATAACCTCATAACCAACATGAAAATAGAATTCATCAACATCTCTATCAAAATCAATAGAAATAAACTCCGTATCTTCTGGTGCTTTGGTTTTTTTCATCTGTCCCTCTTACTGTAGAATGATGATACTTTTCGCTTACAATGTGCAGCACTTTATATGGGAGTTTTCAAACTTAAGCAAACCTAACTACTTTCCATTGTGCCAGCTTCACATTTGGCACAGCAGGTAAGCGACCTTACCGAAGTCTCACAGCATCAGCGGCAAAGCTGTTGATAGAACCCAGGAGTACCCTCCTATAACCACTGTGTCTGTACCATTTAACATATTGAAATACCTTCTTGTCCATACATATATATGCACAACATGTGTTCTTAGATTTTGGGGAACTGCTTCAGAGAAACAGCGCTGTACTTAAGGGACAACATATATTTATGCTAAAAAGAGACCATCACCAGTTGCCTTATTTGATATACATGCTGAAATGTGCAGCAAGGCAAAACTTGGCAAATAAACGGTTACATGCAGCTGCTCATTTCCTTTGCTTTTGTTGATGAATGCTACTATATGCAGGTAAACACTATACCCATCTGGCTGCATAGATAGATAGACAGATAATGGAAAATGAAGACACATGAGTATGAATAATATACTGATGAATAGAGCACTAAGTTCATAGCATAGATTTTACATGACTGTATAGCTATATTATTTGCACTGTATGCATTTGTTGTGTAATGTAACTATTGTTTGCCATATAATAAATCCATTTCAAAGAACAATAATTGTATTTCCTTATCCAGACTGTACAGTTGTGATTTTAAATCAATAGATACAGGTCTACTAATAACATGAATTATATGCACATATGTACCACATATACTTTAGCTGCCTTCCCGAATATCTTTGCAACAATTTCATTCAGGTTTTAAATTATATCAGTGATAGTCAAGATTATTCCACCACGTGGTACAATTTACTGATTTTTTTTAGGCAGAATGACCTCCGGCACATCTTTGGATGAATAACACTGACTCATTCATTCTAGGTTATACTGATCTTCCTTCTGCACCCAAAACTCCCAGTGATATGTGGGAGTGCAAGAATGATGGGGTCAGAACCAAATTTACTCTTCTATGTGAGAAAGACAATTTATCCCAATTATTCCTTTGAAAGATCATTTCAACTACATTTAAAAGCCAGTTTTATGGAGCTACTTTTGCTATGTCATTTTCAGTGGGATTTGAGAAGTTGTACTGCATTTTTTCCCAAAAATGGTTCAATACCGAAAAAAGAGCGAGTGTTGGTGGGGAGAAAAGTCAACATAAAATAAACACAACAAAAGTATTCAGAAGCTAAAGGCTCAATACGTAGGACTTGTACATTACAATTTTGAATGCAGTAGTGGCAGACTCATTTGCAATAAGAAAGTAATAAAATGCTCATGGTTTAAAACACAAGGCTTAAAAACATAAAAATATGTTCAACAGTACAGCTATTTTTCAGCTTTCACCAAAGTGGGCCCCAATATTTAAAAATTGTGCATGCAAAACTTGCACTCGAGTCACTTGGGAGTTCTGGAGTCAGAATGCTTTCAGGCTCAGGCCCACATATGTGTTCTATATTATGCAGTATTCATGAACTTGTAAAAAATTATGCCTCATTTTTACCTATTCCAACTGTTAGAGGAGAGCCAGTCCGAGGTGGCGTAGCTGGAATATTTTTCGGTGGAAGTGGCGGAGGGGCTGCAAAACACCAGATCAGGAGGAAGAGTTTAAGTTCAAGAAATACACTGAGCTCATAAGAAAACATGTGATTCTTTCTGAAGAAGAAGAGTGTTAGTTCCCTGTTCAGGGTATATTTTTATGCTATTGAAAATACAGCATTGGTAAAGGTTAATTGCATCCTTGCCACCACATTCAGCAATGTGCCAGAGAGATAATGGCTATGACAGCTTTATATACTATCACAGACTATGTTAACAGCCTTGCATTATTAAGTGATTAGGCAATTAATGTGCATCATCATTGTCTGAGGAAAATCACAATATTTTATTAAATCAAAAACAGATATATTTTTCTTTAAGAAAAATCTCAAATCACACTTGGCTTTTTAAAAACACAAATTAATATTTCAAAATAAGACTAATAACAAACATCATTGATAAACATTATTTACCTATGCATTCCTAATGCACCAGTTCTTCTAGTGTTACAGTCAGAAGAGTGAACCAGATGATTAAATTATACCAATTCAATTATTTTGAAGATACAAAATTGCAAAGCAGCATGTAAACAGTATCTAAATACAGTGGAGAAGACCACACCGTACAATTGAGGTTTCATTGCAGCAAAACAAAGAGCTGAGCTGCGCTGCTCTGTTCTGATCCACCTCATGAGAACCACAACCCCGCGGCACTCGCAATTGGTAAACCAATCCAAATTAAGAATTTACTTCAGTCTGCTTAAACCACAAAAGAAATGAAAGCGTCAAACAATTCTAGCAAAAATACAGCATAATATGCCATTCATACAACCTTCTTCTTAAATTTTCCTTTTTGTGGAGCTCTACACTCCTTGGCACTGTCAATAAGCAAAAATTCCAACTGATAACTGGCCGGTCCCCAGCCTGAACAAAGCATCAGATGGCTATACCTACTAGTCCACAGATCACTCTTCTCTCTGCCCCCAATGCATGCCTACACACGTGCTCTGGGGTGGGGGCATTTTAATTAAAGCAGTTCCCAGAGAGCTGCTTTAATTAAAATGTTTCAGCATCATGTGTATTAAGCCCCTGCACACTTAAAAATGGCCCTGGGATGCTTTATCTAAATCTCATTCAATTTTAAAATGCCCCAGAGCTTAATACATGTGATGCTGCAGTGATGCTAGAGCGTTCCAATTAGAATACCATGTTGCATGTGTATAGGCAGACCTGAGAGACCTGGGGGATGCAGTGTTAGCTATGAAATATATTTCCAGTGTATGGCCAGGGTAGTGGGAGAGGGGGTGAAGGGGGGAGGTATGGGAGAATACACGCAGCCCAGAACAACAGATCAGAAGACATGGTGCAAAGCAGGGAAATGTTGGCTTTGTGCTTCGAAAAAAAAATTCTAGATTGGTGGGGTGGAAGAACTGCTTAAACAAAGAGATAGAATTTTCCAGAAAAATAGAGTCAATTTTGGAAAGAAAGCAGATATTACATGAAAACTAACAACTGAGCATGACAGCTCATAAAAAAAAAAAATCCTCATACAACCGGACAAAGCACATAAGCATCCAGGCATATTATTATTTAATCTTATTATTTCCCCAAATGCTGTAGAGAGTTTCAGCAGGATCTATTTAATGTAGGTTATTCATTAGTCCCTCTATCTTTTCCTCTAGAAGTGCTGGTGAAAAATACCATGAGCATCATTTCCCCAATTTATTATTTATTAAAGTATGTTTCCAGAGACTATCCCTGTTAAGGTGAGCAGGTGGCTTATTGCCTCAGGGTCCATTATGATGGAGGACATTATTGATAAAGGGCTTTATTTGACTCTGTTATAATATACCCACAAATGTACAGTAACACAGTACTTGCAACCATACAGTATATAGTTTGTAAAATTATCTTGTACCAACACCATTTATTTCTTTGGACTTAATAGGAAGCTTATTATTGACTCCAATGTCACAGCATGGTTCAGGGGGTGGCAAACTATGCCAGGTTCATGGGCTGGATCTGGTCCATGGCAGTTCAAGGTATCAGATTCTCACTCTGTCCAGGCACCAGAGGGGGCATCCTCAGGGTCCTATAGCTTGTTCCTTCTATTGCCTTTGTGCAGCTTTCCCTGATTTGTTTCCCTGATGAATATAACCCTTTCCATCACAGATGGTCACTTAATCAACTGCAAGGGTAAGTGCAGGCAGCTTGGGTGCTCTAAGCCTCTAAGGAATGGAGATTTTCACTCTAACAGAGAGCTGGTTTCAAGTGGTGGCCCACAGTGGCCAAACCCTGGTGTAGGGGATGCAGGAAAGCTGGGAAAGAAGAGTCTCATGAAATTGCACCACACTTGTACTTATTAGCCCCAAAAGTACAAGCATTTTTCAAATGTCAAGCCAAACAACTACATAACCTACTGTGCATAAGGCATATCCTCAGTTTCGAAAACAGAAGGAAGATTTAACTGATTTTTAAAAGTCTCTTTTGTTCTCCTGAATTTGCAACAAGAGCAGAATTTAGGATGGCTGAATCTTTCCTGAACAAAATTAGGAGATGCAGTCCTCATCATCTGCTTTACTTGTTGCTAGAAACATGCCCTTTCTGGTAAACCGACTTAGGTTTAGCTTTGCAAACTGAGAAAGTACAAGGAGAAGCCTCTTTCCCCAGAGACAAGGTGCACTGTCTCTTCCATTCTGAAAACCATCCATCCAATACATTATTAAACCAATGTCTCCTTTTTCCATTGTACTGTGCTGCAGCTACAGCTACTCCTGTAAAAATAAAGCTTAACGTGCTACATGATTAAACAGAGATTTTTATAGTACATGGGAACTCAGACAATAAAGCATCAGAAACTTGATATCTGGCTGATAATCCACACTGCAACTTACTTCCAGTTGGAAAAGGTCTCGGTAATTTTGGAGATTCTAAACTCGAATTCACTGCCTGAACAGAACCCCAGATCTCAGGCTGGTCTAAAGGAGCTGAAAATAGAAAATGAAATAATTGTACACTAAAACAGTACAGAGATTATAGAATCACAAACTGAGTTACGAACGTATATGGGTTACAAACATTGGTAACACAGACAAGACAACCTTTCCTCTTGTACTTTTGCATGGAGGAAGCCCTAATATCGAGGCAAATATCTGTCAATAAAAAAATTAATTTATTCTTATAACAGCATTATGCCATAACCCACTTGCCTATACCTTACCAAATTTAAAGCAGCACAGATAAACAGTTTTATGTGCATGAAGCTTGGAGCAACAATACCATTTATGCTTCTACATCCTTTTTAAAAATTATTATTAAATAAAGGTACTCAGACCAAGTAAAGAAATTCCAGGAGATGTCTATGTTCATCTCCCATGGATAAGCATCATGTGTCAAATGAGGCAAGAGCTAAGGATATTCATACATAGATGCTAAAAGGTAGCTATTATACTGCATATATGGGTACAGTCCTTTGTTAGTGCTCTATATTATTTTCTTCTAAGCTATAATTTAGAAAGTATATATAAAAATTATTTACTGAAGTTTGTGTAGACTATTGGATAGAAATATTTAAACTGCAAGTTGTAAGTGTCCATTAAATGATAAATAGGTCAGGAGTCAAACAGGCAACAAGCATCCCCTCCCTCCTGCATCCCCAGTAAAATAAGGACAACTAGGTTTCTTATACAAGTTTCCAGTCCAATTATAAATGTACATAAGAAGTGCCAAATTGGGTCAGGCCAATTGTCCACCTAGCCCAGTATTCCATCTCTGACAGTGGCAGGAGTAGACGCTTTAAAGGGAGAGCATATGAACAGGATACATCTAGAGTTCTCTATCCCCTGTCATGCTCTCCCTGGTGTCCACCATCAGTTCTTTTTGAGATATATCCCCAACTGTTCTGTTTAATAGATCTATCATCCATGAATTAGTTGAGTCCCTTTTTTAACTTGGCTCTACTATCTGCTTCTACAGCCTCCTGTGGCAATGAGTTCCACACGCTAATTATCCACTACATAAAAAAGTACTCTGTCTTGTAAGTTTTAAATCTGTCTCCTGCTAATTTCAATGGGTGGTCTTAGTTCTAGTATTCTGGGACTTCCACATTCACTCTTTCCACACCCACCATGATTTTATAGACCTCTTAATACCACCCCTTCCCTCTGCCCCCTCAGCCTTCTCCTTTCCAAACTGAACAGTCACAGGCTTTTCATTCTCTCCTGGTTTAGAAACTGCTCCATACCCTGGATCATCTTGGGGTATGGAGCAGGATGCTTTTTCTAATTCTATTACATCCTTTTTCAGATGTGAAGAGTGGAACTGCACACAGTATTCAAGATGTGGCTGCATCATGGGTTTCTGATTTACCAATTTTTTTTTCTCAAGATGAAAAAGTATTAGGTTTTAGAAAGTGTACTTCCTTTCAATTAAATGCAAGAATGTTCTGTTTAGAAGTAATATGTTACTAAAGCCAGAAACTAGGGATGCCTAATTTAATAAAGTTTCTACAATATAATGATATTATTTGGGCTACAGCATCATGGGTGAAACAAAATTGTAAAGCACTACCAAGGAATCAAATGTGATATTTTTCTTTTAATAGAAAATTGAAATGCTCCTGTAAGATACCACCCATTTCTCTTTGTAAGCACCAAATTGTTCAGGCCATATATTCTTGGAGAACCATCAAGTGATCTTGAAAAAAAAAAAAATCAGACAGAAATAGTGGGATTTATTTTAATATTAAAGATTCTTAATATTACTTAGCCAATCTCAACACCAGTCCCTATGATAAGTTAAGTGGGTCCAGTTGAGACTACTCACTTGCGCTCATTTGTATACTGCTTTGATTATATAAATATACAAACAGGATTCTCCAAAGCTTCAGCAAAATGCTGAATTTGTTTTGGTTGTATAATAAGTTGAGATGGAACTTGCTACTAATTTGGGGTCTACTCCAAATTTAGAGCCACTCTTGATGATGTAATTTACTGAAAGCACTCCACAGGTAGTAGATGCAACCATTATTTATAGTTTGCATTTTGTTTTGCTTTGCTGCATTTTTTTTCTTCCTTTTTTTAAACATAATACTACTATAGTCAGAATTAAGAACTTTGATTTATTTGACTATTTTTGATTGCCGTATCCCCTAAAATAGAGTAAAGAATGCAATGCAGCTAAAACTGTGCGAATTGTTATCCCCAAACTAGTCGTCAAAGGAATAGCAATTGAAAATTTAGCTTACTTGATGCTTAGCAGTTTGGCTGGAGCTGATGTTCATTTTCAAAGGTTTGAAACCCCTGGTATACCTGCCTAATATAGAAAATCACATTCACAGTGAAAATGCCAAGATACTAAGTCTTTTGGGAAGCGGCTTATATTGTCCAAATATACTCCAGGTGATTATATCCTCTGTCACTCTGTTTATATTGGATTGAGGAGCCTACTGCAGGAGCTTATGATGTCCCCTGTGGCTATGGTTTGGTTTAGCAGAGTGCAAGTTAATTACGATGCTGAATGCTGATGAAATTTTACACTCAGAGGGTAATTACTGTGGATATGCAGGAACCACTTGCAGTGTTTATAGTCATCTTGTAGCCTACAAACTGTTAAGTTGCCACCTATTATACTAAGCCGAAGTTACCCAGGGTGCAGTGTCCCAATTGCATACAGAAAGTTAGATTCGTATCCCAGATTTATTACAGAATTCATTTATAAAATAAAGAGAATTTATTTTTAGAAGCCTTTTCCTCTTTAAAGAACAGCCGGACTAGCCACTTTTCATACCTTCCAATTTCTGTTCTTCAAATGCTGACTCCAGTGGTGGGCCAAACAAGGGCGCAAGGGCTGTAGAATCATCTGGGGCTTTTTTGCTGCAGGACAAGACAAATACGAAATGAAGACATTTAAGGAACATCTCTGAATATGCTTGAGAGAAGTGTCAGATTCAAAGCATTTGATGGCATAATCCCTTTAGTGGCTAAAAACTCTTCAGACTACCACTAACTCACTGGAGACTTTTTTTTAGAACAGTGTCTGCTGTAGAGCTGAACTCAACCTCGTACATATCTGCATCAACTGAGTGGCCAAGGAACTCATAGATTGTTCAGTTCAGTGATTCTCAACCAGGGTGCTGTGTGTGCTTTAGCATCTGGGGGTGCCTTGACATTGTTTCACGGGTCCCACAGGGTGCCACACAGTGTAAGCACAGTTAGGTGTGCAAACAAGATTCACAAGATAAACCCAGAGAAATCAAACAGAAACTCACATTGTTATAAACATTCTGACTTGCTGTGATCTTTCCAACTTCTTTGCAACAGAAAAATTGCTCTATTATTTGTTCTTCATTAAAAAACAAACAAGTGCAAACTAGGGCTACCAATACATGTACTTGGAGGTGGGAGATGGGGAGGTGTTTTAATTAGAGTGGTTCCCAGACAGCCACTCTAATTAAGACAGCTCAGCCTCATGTGTATTAAGCCACATCCCTCCCCACCTGCCCACCCCCGCTCCGGCACATTTCAAAATGGCCGCAAGTACACTTTAATTAACTCTTATTCAACGAGGTTTCATAAAAGCACCCTTGCAGGCATTTTAAAACACAGGGGGCTTCATACATGTGACACTCAAGTGATGCTATAGCTCTCCAATTAGAACACATTCTAATTAGAACGTGTTGGAGCACTTCTATAGGCAGCCTAAGAGCTGGCATTTTTGGAGGGGTGCCTTACCTCTACGGAGGAATGCCTTTTATCTAAAAAGGTTGAGAACCACTGGCTTAGATACAGCAAAAGGTACTAAACACTAGTGACCAATCTAAAAAACACAGGTTGCCTAGGTTAACTCCTGTTAGTACAAGCAAACTTTACTCTGGATATGAATTACTGAGGCAGAAAGCAGAGTACATTTGCACCTTATAGACTAAATTCATTCTACCTGCCTGACTTCAGACTACCAAGGTTAAATATTTCAATCTGTAAAATACACATTGTGGGCAGAATAGAGTCTCATCTTGCCTCTCTCTCCTGCTGAACTGCACTCCACCGTTTTATTTAAAATATTAGGAGGGACGAGATTTGCCTATTACATTATCTCAGACTGAGTAAATACAATTTATATAAAGGCAGTGGCTACCTCAGCAGACCTTGTTCCTGCATTTGCTTTTGGTCTTCTTCTATTTATCAATAGTCTTACACAACAATCATAACCTTGGTGCTGGAAAAGTTTTCTAATTTGTTAAAATGAACATAAGCATCATGAATAAATGTTATTACTGATATTTTTTTAAGAGTAGATTGTCCTTTCAAATATTTAAATATTCTTAAGTGCACAGCTTTGTAAACAGATAATGAACTGCACAACATCTGATTACACAACTGACACCCATCCCTGAAATACAGCAACGGCACTGAGATGGTAGGAGCATGTGGAAACAACAACCAGATATCTAAGTTTTTTCTAGGTCAGAAACTAAAGTAAAATGCAGCTTTGTCAGACTTAAAACATACTTCATCTCTCGGGTGGCACTGAGCCAATGTTTTGAGATATACCATCTAAACCAGGAAGCAGAAAAATATATGGATACCTTCTGCCTCATGGAAAGAACTTGTGGTTTTTATCTCATTTTTAGACGTATTTATACTGAAATGCTGGAGAGGCCAATTTTATAAATAGCTTCTAGAATGCTTTCCCCCCTCCTGAAACAGTGCTTTCAAGAATGACAGCTTACAGATTTTTCTGCACACAATCAGTGATGCCCACTCATTAAGCTGGTGGGGTACCAGGTAATACCTGAGCACCATTTCCTTTGATACAAGGGTCCCCGACTAGCTACTACGCAATACCTATAATAAATGACAATTTCTTTCATACTGACCTTGCAAGTTCTGGAGTTGGTGTCGAGCGCCTAGGTCGTGCTATCTCTTCACCTGTCACATATGATGGTACTGTTTAGATTGTTTTTCTTTTGAGTCGAGTTGCAATTTTTCACATGAAAGACTAGGAGATGCAAGTCACTGGAATTACACCAAACCAGCATGTACTTGCACATGCCAGAAGAAGTTGGAGCCAATGACAGTTTGGAGACTGACTAATCCATAAAATGGAGTAGAATTAATTCTACCTTCCCAATAAGCACAAATGTATTGTTCTCTCTTTATACAGGAGTTTACAGCATGAGTGTAATTCCAACTCAGTGAGACTAAATATACTTCAGCAAGCTACATATCAACTCATTGTATAGCTCTTTATGGAGACAGCAGAGTCTATACATCAATTACAATCCAATTTTTCTGGATACTATCAGATGAGAAGGCCACTAACATAACATCTTCCATGTAGATGTCGTATTGATGGAGTAAGTTAATTTTATGAGCAACACATTCATGAAGGATAGAAAGCTGTACACAGCAGGAGATCAATGATATTAGCACTGTCCCTTTTAAGGGCTCATGCATTAGTAAATAAAATACGCCGTAGCTGTCTCCTTTAAGAATTACTGCTTGGGAAAAGAAATGCACTTTGAAAAGAGGTAGAGGAGCATATTTTGAAGCAAATCTGACTTTTTTCTAAAGATCATAAGAGTAATAACCTTCTTGACATGTTCAGTTCCTGCAAGCTAAAGAATATACTTACTGGATAAATTCCTTTTAATTGTACCCTAGAATTAGAAACAGACACTAAGGTTTAGGAGAGGGTAAGCAATAAGCATAACATATATGTAAAATAGGTACATCTAGTTGGTTGAAGAGATGCATATCAGTACAAAGCAGGTAAATGAAATCTGACATCAATCCAACTACCTTGGTGAAACACACACACACACACACACGGGTTCTGCTCCCAGTTGACGAGAGCAGAGAAAATGAATTCAAAGATTTTGAACCACATAAAGCTAGTCTGTGGGCATGCTGTATTTGCAGCCTTCTTGATTGTAAGTTTATTACACTAAACATTTTTAATTGCAGTGCTGCATCAACTTATACATACACCTCCCCCCCCCACACACACCTGAACTTCAATACACTGTAAATGCTTCAAATCAACTACATTTTGTCACTATTCTGAACTGTCATGTAAGTGTACACAAGGTAAGCATGCTGGCACACTAGTAAAATCTTAAGGAGCAATCCATAACCTAGGAAACTGGAAGACTAACAGAAGTAGAAATTATTGCAAACAGAAAAGTAAAAACAAGCATACAAGAGGTAAATTTCTAAAGGGGAAGGGAAAAGATGTGCTGTGTGTCTGACAGCCATCTCCTGAGGGAATGTGATAGTGACTGTCTATGGTATCATAGATACAACACAGCAATGTTACCATAACGCAGTTACCATGGTAGAACATTATGCAGCAGCAGACTAATAAACAACCTAGGCCACAGCTCTGTGAAATGTGTATTGTCAAAGTGGGTTCTTAATGCAAACCTTTCCTCCACATGTGCTATACAGAGGTTTTTTCATGCATCACAATGGTGTGTTAGCTCCAGAAAGATTTGCACTTTTGCATGTGTTCCAGGGCACTGCGGGTGGTGGGGGGCAGCACTGGGAGTCGCTGTAATTAAAGCTCCACAGCATCTTGAATATTAGCATCCCTGCACTTCAAAACAGCTGCAGGAGGCAGCTGAACTAAAACTTGTTCGATAAGCTTTAGTTCAAGTGCCCCTGCTGCCATTTTGAAGAGCGGGGATGCTGATACATGAGACGCCGGAGGCTGCTGGAGCGCAGTAATTACTACGCTCCAGCAAACTTGATTACAGGTTTCCCTCGCTTTATGCTGTACATGCGTTCCTGGAAAATTGCACATAACCTGAATTTGCATAAAGGGAACCTACTTTACAATGTAACAAATTGGGATACCATTCCAAGATCTTGACTGTACTGACCCCCAGACCCATTTCCACCACTTTTACAGAACAATTTTGGTACTCACCAACAACAGAGAGTGCACACAAGCACAGCGTGGTGGTAGATGTTAACATAATGGGGATGGCAGCTACAGAAACACGTGTCACAGACAACGGGCGAGGAGCACAGATCCACACTGGAGACTATTTTGGTACATGTCATTTGTGCAATCCACCACACAAAGCAGCTGACTGCTGGTTTCCACCACACCAATTGTGTTAGAGTGAATTTACCTCACATATAACAATTTTTTGGTATAAAAAGGGTCACTGCATAAGAACGAATCTGCACATACAGAACCCACATCAAGCGACAGAAACCTGTAATCGAGTCTGCTCCAACACGCTATCGTTACAGCGTGTCGGAGCAGGCTCCGCACTCATGTACAGGCACCCTGATCAAGATCAAGAGGGTGGTGCAACATGTTTCCCCCTCTGCCGTCATACTCTGTACTCATGCATTCACGTGTCTTAAGGTTGCTGGGCTGGAAGTGCCCTGTTAGGGTTAGTTATTAGGCAAAATTCAGTCATTAAGCAAAACAGAGGTTTATCCAGAAAATCTGTTGAAGTCAGTGAGATGAGAGGCTGCTAGCACTGAGCACCCAGCATTTGCCCGCCATATTCTAAAATGGGGTTACTGCGGACTCACTGCTGTGAATAATGGCGAGGAAGGGGAAGCAGACTGGTAGAGGGGGTGAGGATACGGCATTGTAGGAGAAAAAGTACTTAGATGCAATTGATGAGCATCATGGCTATTTTCAAGAGTTTCATTTATCCCCATTGTCTCCTGGGATAGCAGCTGCTCCACTGTGCTCCAGAGCAATCTTTGAAAGATGCAAGTCAGTCACAGCCGTGAGAGACGGGCTCCTGAATGGCCTCATGGAACATGCTTGGCAACAAGCTCTGAAGGTCTTAATGTGTGTGTGGCCAGAGGGTACATGCCATTAACCCACAATGCCTGCTGCCTTTGGTTTTCTTCACCCACAGGACTGTGAAACAACCAAGCATCACAGCTCAATCCTATTAAGCTCAGGACTAAATGAGATCAGTCTTACTGTCACATAATGCATAGCCATGTCTGTGCTGGACTGAACCCTATGCGACTAAAAAGTTGTAAATGTGGCTGTTACCCACACAAAATTCATGCCCTGTGAGAAAGCCAATCTGTCTAACAGGTGAATTGTAAGCAGCTGTGAGCAACAGGGCTTTTACTTTTGTCTGATGTCTCAGTTAATCAAACAGGATCCACCCTTCTCAGGTGATTCTCAAAAGACTTTAAAGTTTTTTAACATAATGCATTTCCTATCGTACTTGCACAGGGAGCACATTCACACATTCAAGCACTTATCAGTCAGCACATTATGGAAGACTCGCACCAGGTAAAGCATCCATCCGTTCACTTCCCTAACAGGTATCAATGCAGAACCACACTTGTGGCCGAGCAAGGCAGATTCTAACAAACTGTCAGACATTTCATAAACATATATGGACAGAAAATGGTGAGCAAGTTCTTACCGGGCTGCGCCTCTGTGATCAGCAAGAAGGAAGAGAGAAGAGATACCTAGTCAGAGAGTGACAGATCAGTAAAGATGCTCGGGTAATGAGAAACTTTCACCCCCCCAAGCAAGTACACCATTTTGAAAATTATATTCCCAACCCCCCAGCAGGTATTAGCACTTTGCTCATTAACTGGCTAGACCTTTGGCTTCATGCAGCCGACTATAAGAATTTGGGGTGTAAACTGGGATGCTCCAGAAGGGATGGCAGCTCAAGTCCCCAGCCTCAAGTGTAGTGAACAAGGCACTCAAAGATCCTCCACAGGCATCTTCTCCTCTCCCGTTCGTCTAGCAGTGGAGCTGCTTTCCCCTCCTCACTTGGTTCTGAGGTCTTCCTCCTTCATGATTTGGTTTTCACCTTCCCTGTCTCAGTAGTAGAGAGGTGGGCTGGTTTACTTTGCTCCTCCAAAGTTTCTCTGTTTGCAGCTCCCATGCTGCTCACCAAGCCAGCTGACCAAAACTCATCATAGAGAAGTCATCTGAACCCAACCATCAGAAGAGTTTTAACAAAAAACTATGGGACAAAACCAGTGAGGATTTCTTGAGGAACTCAAAAGCCTAAGACATGGCCCCCAGCGCATAGAGACTTTGACAGGTGTGCATCTGACCTCAGGAACAAGTTCCTCTTTCTCTCTTTTTCTTCCTTAAAATAAAGCCCCACATCTTTTAAGGTTTTGCTATAAGAAAGAAAGTGGGACAGTGGATAATTTTCAAACAATAACTACACAAATTAAATAGATTAGATGCGCTCCTTCAATTACTGTAGGAGTAATTACAGACATATCTACATCTATGTATTTGAACAATTTGTTGAACATTAATGTAGATTCAAGAGACACAAGACTGACCCTGTTCCAAAAGCTTGTTGTCTAAATTAGGTGATACAGTCCAAAATATGCAGAGAGAGAGAGAGAGAGAGAGAGAGAGAGAGAGAGTGTGTGTGTGTGTCTGTCTGTCCGTCCGTCCGTCCGTCCTCACAGTCATTCCTTGCTGCTCCAATACGAATTACTCAGTGTGCTTAGAGTGTTTTCCATTTTTACATTTTCAAAGTGCTTCACAAAGAAGCAGTCATCAGTGGCCTGGGAGATGTACTGTTTTAGCATGGACACGGATTCAAAAAGAGAGAGAGAATGGAGGGCCTGATTACGTGGGGTTGCTCAGCTCCTGGAAGGACCAGGGCACATTTCTGGGCTGTGGCGTTGTGAAGAACTGGCACTAGAGCTCAGCAATGTCAAGCTCACAGTCCAAGGACCTTTGCATTAGGCCACATTGCTGCTTGATAGTAAAAATTCCTACTTAAACACCACCACAGGATTCTCATCATCCCTGTGGAAATAAACTCGTTTTATCCCATGTACCTGTAGCATTTGAAATTCTGGCGTTGCCTAATATTGGGGCACTGTAGCTTTCCATACATTTCCAGATCAGGGGGTGGCAACGTAGGCCCACAGGTTGGAACTAGCCCATGGAGCTGCAAGCCTTGGCCTGTGCCCAGCCTGAGTTGGGGCTGAGCAGCAATGAGCTGGGCTAAGGACAAGCAGCTGGAAGCTGTGCCCACACGGCTGCTGCTTCTCAGCTCTCCTGCTCCTTACCTACCAGAGCCAAGTTGTTCTGGCCCATGGTTTGAAAGAGGTTGCCGGGGCTTGCTCTAGACTAATACACTAGAGTTGAAAGGCACTTGAAAGTAGAAATCTCTGAACATCCACTCACTGAAGTACTAAACATAAAACAGGATTTATAGCATGCAGATGAGTGTCCAGTTTGAGGCCTTTTACCCTGGTGTCACATCTTGGGTCAGCCGACAAGTGAAAAGCAGTTGACTGGCTTCATTTTAATCCCTGTTTGCAAGTTATCAACACTACAAAGGTATTTAATTAACCTGCAGTGATAGTAGGATGGATTATTTTGCCTCAAGAAAAGTGATGGTGAGGGCACCTTTAGATTTCATGCGGGGGGCAGGGAGGAGGTTTTTCAAACATTTAAACTCAATGGATTTGACACCACATTTCCTTATTTGAATTATTTTGAAACAATGTACATGGCTACACAGCAGTCTTGGCTAAAGGAGTGATATAGTCCCAGGAGCTAAATCAGGCCCCAGAAGGAGTACACCTGTTTTAAAAGACACTTCAGATCTCACTTAGCCCTGAAATAAAGTTTGATGGATAATGCAGTCTAATACAGGGTCTGGCATAGTCTCACCCCAAGGTGTTTTTAAACTTTGAGAGTGCTGCCAAAACCAAGCCAGGGGCCTCCCCTGAGGAGGGATTCTTCATGTCTGAGTTTCTTGAGGATAAGAAAAGTGCATTAGAGCTGCAACTATTTCAAAGAGCTTATACTTCAATACTATGGTGATTAGCACATTATAAATGCACTTGAGAAACAGAGATGGACAGGAAGGCAGATCATTTGGCATGTATAGGAAAATATATGTAACAAGCTCAAAAAAAGTTAAATGCAGGAGAGGAAAAAGTCCTGCAAACAAGACAAGGAAAAAATATTTCCTTACAAATTTTCACCTGACTGAATTGAAAAACCTGTGCATTTAAGGACTTGTTGTCCTAGTTCAGTGATGACCCCAACTAATCCTTAAGAGAAACAGGAATGAGAGTCAATATAAAAAAAAACAGTGACAGTGTGCACACACACAGCTGGAGGTGGAGAGCAAGGGAATGGGGTGGGAGGAAAGCACATTAGAAAACAAATGCCTGGGCAGGGGATTTATACTGCTCTCTTGTTATGGCTACTTCAGTCTCTGTATTTCCACATGGAGAAGATAATTCCACAGCCGATTCAATTCGGACACCTGGCCCAATTCAGCGACCGAATCGCCGAAGCCAAATTGAAATCAGGAGACTAATAAAAAGGTCCGAATCGATTCAAAACTCTGAATAGATTCGGAAAAAATTTGAAGAGATCTGGATATTTGGGCAGTCCCCACTCACCGCCTCAGGGAGCTGGACGCGGACTCCATGCTGGTAAGTAGGAGGCAGGGCAGGGGGGTGCTGGAGGAGGGAGGGGGGACCACGGGGGGACTCCAACCAGGCCCCATCCCCTGCCTGCTCGCCCAGGCCCCCTAAGCAGCCCCCCAATTCCCACCTGCTCCCCGCCTGGTCCCAGCACCCTGGCTTGCTCTCTCTCTCTCTTTTTTTTTTTTTTTTTTTTTAAAGAGTCCTGCACTCCCCGGCTGCTGCAGCGGCCACTGGGGCCTCATGGCAGAACCCCCCATGAAGCGCGGGGCAGTGGGGGGCAGCAGGGATTGCCCCCTCCCCCCTGCCTGGCAGCAGCCAGCGAGTGCAGGGCTTTATTTATTTATTTTAATTAAAGTCCTGTGATGCTGGGGCCAGGCCGGGCAGCCATTGATGGGGCTGGGAGAGCAGGCAGGGGATGGGGCCTGTTCAATTCAGAGATCTGGCTGATTCGACAGTGGCCAAATCTCTGAACCAGATTTAGATAGTGATTCGAATCACCCAATCGAATCACTGTCCCCCAAATCAGCTGAATCCGAATCCGAAGCGAGTACTAGCTGCTTTGTACAGGCCTAGTGCACAGGCGCCATGCGTGGCTTACGGTGCTTTAAGCTGCTTTGAGGTGCACTCACTGGGGCATGCCCAAGGGGAGGGTCTTCGAGTCCCTAGGGCAAGGGTAGTGTGGGGCTGTTCCTGCTACATCGTGGCACCGAACTCCTACAGCTGGGCAGAATGGGACTTCTCCATCTGGGCTCCTACAGCCAGGGGTTTGCATGGCTGATCCAGATGTGATAAAGGAGCACCTGCTACCACAGTAAAGACTCCCCAGGAGGCTGCCATTCTGGCATCCACCCAAGTCAGTGCCTGAGGATAGTATCCCACTCTCCTGCCCCTAGGTACCCTACTGTCTGGCAGAAGGCTGCCCTAATATGAGTAATGCTAAAAACCATATGCACATTCCTTCCCTAATAAAAAGACACTGAGTCCCAAGGAAAAGCTTCTACTTCAAATTCACCCTGTCATTTCCCCCCCGCTAGCTTTGTCATACAAGCTCAGGCAGCTGCAGTGTGGCTTTTCTTCAGCTCAGACTCGCAATCCCCTTCAACATCAGCAACATATTACATGCTGACACAAGCAAAAGATGTTGCTGGTCTAGATCTTCATCTGCACCCAGCACAAGCCTTATCCAGTGCATGAGTGACAGGATGCACCCACAGCAGCTCCTTTATTCTCAAATTTACAGCAGCCTCAAGGATACTTTAAATTATTCTGGTGTACCAATGACCCAAAAAGGCTATTTGATCGGTTGGGCACCCTTAAAACACAGTGGTACTCCTGCCATGCCCCGCTTTTTGGCCACAATTTGGCCAGGGATGCTGGAGAAATCTATCAGTGGCTGGATTTGCAGGGTTTGGGGCTGCAGAGTAGGGGCTAGGGATGTGGCCAACAGGATGAATATAAGTGCATATATATGTACGCATGAGTGTAACAACAGAGATAAGTTGAAGCAGACCCAAAAAGAGGATGAAATCAGTGATACAGCAGAGAGTGAAGAACTGCACATTTTGCAAAACCGTTAATATTCTTCTCAAACCTTTACAAAGACAAAGAGACTGTCTTTTTGGGCTAATGAATCCAAGTGCTACCCATTATTTTGGGAAACAATACCAAGCCAAACTGCATTGCAGTGACTGCAAATATTCCTCAATAATTACAGAACTGTATAAAGACCTTCCCCCTTTTTCTGCCAATGCTCACAATCGTAGCAAATCTCCCATGGAAGCAGAAGTGGAAGTGTTCAGGGACCTGTAAATGAATGGAAGGGTTTAAAAGCAACTTGTGATATTCCAAATCAAGAACTACCCCACTGTTTGAATGTTTATGAACTCTCTGCTGAATAAGGTCAGGGATACGAAAATGAGTTTTCAAAGTGTATGAGGGTTTGGGGTGAAGAGAAATAGGAAGTTCCCTAGGACACATGGTGGTGAGGTTAGTTATGTGATAGTTATGAGTGAGCATACTGAAGCGATGAATATGTTTTTCCAGTTTTTCAATACACTGTCTAGCGTGTTGTGTGTGTACATGAGAAACCACTTGCTAACCCACCATTAGCACGTGCATGTTAATCAAAATTAAAAAGTTGCTCATGGTACATTTTGTGGCTGTGTATTGCTTAACTAACATGTTCTGCAAACTGATTGTGTAGGGTACTGGAATGCCACATCCTATCACAGCCAGGCAATTGGCTGAACATACTGTTGGCATTTCTCAAAGCCCTGAAATCAGTTCCACATAAGATAAATACAACACTGTGCCACCAATGTTTTACTGGACTTTTCTATAGCTCTCTAACATTCATTAACGAACAGTTACAACAAGCACTTCACAATTCTGCTTGAAATCATCTTCTCTGGGTTCGTGGAACGGTAGGTTCTTTTTCTACTGAATTCTGGAATCTGGTAATAAAAAGAGTGCTGATTTTATGAATGGCATAGGTCTGTGACAAATTTGTTAATTCAGAAAGGGTTTAAATGTGATATGTCTGCAAATGTTTGAGAAGAATTTTAAGTGCATCAAAAAAAGAGAGAAAACGTCACTGATTTTATAAGATCCAAATTTTATGCAGCTCTTAATTTCATTTCTGTAGCGAACGAATCTCTCTCTCTCATCCACTCAGGCATACATGCACTAATTGTCCCAGCGCTATCTTGTCTTGGTTTTTGCCTCAAGCCACATTTGCTGTTTTATTTGCATGCATTACTACCTTTAAGATTAATGGAAATTACATGCACAAAGAAGTAAAAATAGATTGCTCTGTCTTTGGGTGGATCATCTACCCAACCACAGGGGTTCAGCAGTAAGAAAACCATTTTGAATTGAGCAGGAGAACCAAATAAGAATGAAAATAAGCAGCTGAAATTCAACAAATCAGTGACAAAAACCACATGGATAAATCACACAAATTCAGAACTATAGGAATAACTTGCTTTTTTGGCTTTCTAATAAAACTTGCCTAATATTTTGGAATCATGTTTCAACTGAGACCAGGCGGTCTCATATTTTGACAGGAGGCAAATGCCATGCAGATATTCAGCCTTCTGGAAATACAGACCCACTGCAGGACAAGTTCTTTAAAGAGCACTACTAATTTCACTTGAAAGCAAAAGGTGTGGGGATAGTAAATCGCAGTGTTTTTGCTGAAGTAGGAAATTACAGTCCAAAACTTTAACTTGCATTAGAACTGGGTGAGGTTTTTTTCCCCCCCTCAACAAGATCCAAATCTATCCAAATAATGCAGTTTTGGGGCTTTCAAATCTACTGGAAAATGTTGGTCAAATTTACTTAGTAGTTTCAGCTGAAATGGAAATGACAAATCATTTAGACTATTCCAAAACATCTCTATGGCTGGCCTTTATAGTCGTTGTCAGCAATCCCTCAATTTGAAGATGATCTCTGCCATGGTTCATTGATGGGCCTTGTGGTGACTTAAGAGTCCAGAGACCTGAGCCACAGACCAGTCCACAGAAGTTGCAGATCTTTCTACAGGAGAGAATAGGCTCTAAGCTAGAATTTCTCTCTTTTTCCTTTCTCCATTCTCTCCTTTCTGCTTTGAGGACAAGATGCTTTACTTCAAACCAGGCTGCTACTTGGTTCAGGTTGTGGCACCATTGGAGTCAGTCAACAGCCAGCTCCTCCCAACTCTTGATGCTGGCATCTATTTTCTTGAGGTGTGCCTTCAATGTGTCCCTGAGGTTTTTCCTGTGGCCACAGCAAGATCTCAGAGCATTACTAAGTTGGGAACAGAGCACTTTCTGGGAGTCATGAGTTGGGCATCTGCACACAGTGTCTGGTCCAGAGAAGTTGGTGCTCGAGACTCAATGCTGGTAACACTGGCTTCAGCAAAGATTTCCAAACGTTGGATTCAGCATTTGCACAGTGATCTTCCCATCTGATGTAGAGTATTTTCTGGAGTCATCATTGGTGATGTCTCCAGGCTCATGAGATGACAACAGGTCACCCACGTTTCACGTCCATAGAGGAGAGTGGGGATGATAACTACATTGTAGACCTGGATCTTGGTGTCTTTCCAGAGATTGTGAGAAATAAAGATGTCACAAAGCAATTTCCCAAAGAAGACACTTGCATACAAGAACCTGTGCTGGATTTCCTCAATGCAGAGGTGGCTACTGAGGTAGGTAGCCCAGAAAGGATGAGGGATCATGCCCTCCTTTTCAACAGCTCAATTGCAGGATATAGGAGACTGGGTTCTAGTTTTTCTCCCCTGCTTGCAGAAGTCTGAGTCCCCATTCCTTACCTGGCAGAAGACTGCCTTAAATCACCATGGTACAGGTTATTCTGGAGTAAATCACTCTGTTTGTGCTGTTGATGCTGTTCCACTTTTCTCAGACAGCTTAAAAATTCATAGCGTTAGAGGCAGACACTAAGCAGCCCAACAGTTTAGGCCATATCTTAAGAGGTGGGAACCTCAATTTAGAATAATAATTTTATAACCAGGTGGCTAGAGCATTCTCCTTGGAAGAGGAGGAAGAAAATGCAAGTTCAAAACCCCTCAGGCTGAACAGTGTTGAATCTGGGCTTCCCATAACAACCCACAAGCAAAAGTGCATTCTCCCCTTTGTTTTGCGGGGTTTTTTACAAGCACTGGTTGGAAGCTTCAGAACTTTAATAATGCGCTGGAGCATCAGTAACTTGTCACTAACCTTTCAATCCACTCCTGTCTACAAATATTAGACTATGACAACTCATATGATTCTTGGAAATTAGAAACACCTCTTCTACAGATGGGAAAACTAGGGGCAGCAAGTTGGAGACTCGCACAAGACCACAGAAGGAGGAATTGTATGAGAAGAGACTAGATTTCAGAGGTTCTTCTCTTGAGAGCCAATGCTGTCTCCTATTTAGCACTCCAAAATCTGCACAGGCCTACAAAATGTTATGGCGTGAGAAAAAAAAATACAGCCAAGTCTTTGGAAAGAACATATTAGCATTGTATTAAATGTTACCATAGCAGCAAAGTTCATGCTACCTAACTAAAGGCTTTTATATCTTCTGATAACTATAAATGCTCTGTGACGTACATAAAACAGGCTTGGGTGAAATCCTGAGCACAAAATTCTTTGTGCTCAGGGCTTCACTATCCTCAAACTTTCTGTTTGTCTTGCAAGCCAGAGGGGAAAATAATTAAATGTAACAGCAAGGAATCCTAGCTAATTTAAAAAACACCTTGGAATTAAATCCATGAGGGAGGCAGCATAATAGATGCCATGGCTTCTAAACAAGGATATATGGTATTGACATTTTACATTTCAGACATATGAAAAATAGATCAAACAGAAAAGTACAGGCAAAGTATTCTGTTAAAAAATTATAGAAGGTAGAAAAACTAAATGATATCTTACCGGACTTTTCCTCTAAAAGAATGCAGTAAAGGTAAAAAAAAAGAAAGAAAGAAAATGAGAAAATAAGGTACTTTCTGTAAAGAAGCAATTCACAGAGAAATAAAAGACCTACGTATGAAAGAAAGCATTAAGAGTGTAACTTAAACATACAGTAAAGTAGTAAGTAGGTTGTAGACATAGCCAGAATATTATTCATGCAGACATAATATTATAGTGAAAGATAGCATATGCAAACACAGCACTTTTATCTAAGATATTTTACAGGGTACTGCATTATTTGGCATTGCTGGTCCCTGCTAACTATACTCATAGTCAGTTTTTCAATACATGTTTTACTCCTTAAAATGGTTTATAGGATGTGAAAATAAAGTCCTGTACTCCACACAAGCTTTGAAAAATGTAAATATAGGAAGTGTCTGAACTTAAAAAGGCACAGGCTTTTAAAAAATTTGCACTCAACTGAGATAACTTTAGCATTTTAGCAGTGGGATGAAATATCCTGCTTGGCTCAACGGAAATGACCTTGATTACATTTGTTTCATCACAAGCTCTTAACTGTTTAAATTAGCTTTCATTTTTATCAGCATTTTCCAACCGGGGAGTAGACTATGATTTTTATCTTGTTAGAAAGAGATATAAATAGTGCTGGTCAGAAGCTTATCAGCATGGTCATTGCAGAGTGGAAATCAAAGCACAGTACAGTCTAGTAAATTGCCTTAAACGAGTAAACTGTCTTTTGTAAAGGACATATTAAATTACTGTAAATAAATACTGAAAACAGTCAAACCTTATGGCCACATCCACATGCGTGTGGACATTTGGTTCCCCAGGGACAACTAGCAGTGATGCACCTTGTGCCACTACTGGCTTTCCCAGGGAAACACCTGTGCTACTCGCCCTTTGGCACGCAGCAAGTTACCCCAGGTGGGGTAGGGGAGGCTGGGGCAGCACTGGGCTGGCCCCAGCAGCTTTACCCTAAATCCTGGGGGCCTCCTGGGGCTGCAGCAGTGGCACTCCTGCCCCACACTGCTCCCTTGCACTGCAGAGAACACATGAACATGCAATATGTGGCACTGCAGACATGCTGAACAGCAGCCTTTATACACTACTGATTACATGTGAGAAATTTCAGCAATCTACATGTTGGTTTTTTCTGTCCAGGTTGTGTATGTCTGAAGGATGGCCAGTTGTGAAAAAGCCATAATAGCTGTCAGATTGTGCTGTTTGGTACACTTCTACAAAACATCCTTCATCACCTATTGACTTGAGGATTAGAAGCGAGTTGTGCAAAATTAGAAGTTTTGCTCATTGTTGGGTTTTAATTTATAAAGTAAGAAATACTACTTTTTAACCATGAAAAAAAGTTAATTTCTCTAGCAGTCAGTCAAGCAAATATGGTTACACATTGTAATTACCATATTCACTCAAATATTAGATGACCCTGAACATAAGATGCCCCAAATAATTAGATTTTATATATGGAAAATATATACATTTGTTATAATTTCCCAAGTATTGAGGTTTGCCTTGAATTTGTCCTCCTCCCACTCCTACAGCAGGGAAAATAAATCTAGGGGGCCAAGTGGCTCCCTTGCCTTTACTCCATAAACTTCTCCCCACTTCAGCCCCTTCCCGTCTCCTTATGGTCAGACCCTGCTCTCCCCGAGCACATGCAAGCAAGGAGCAAATTTGAAAACACTAACTTTGAAATAAACCTGCCTGTAATACTTTGTATATAGGCAAACTACTATGGGTACCCATAGACTTAGTTCATCCAGAACGGACACACCTTACCTCATTTGAAAGTGCTGCAAGTTTTAGCACAAATACTCCATAAACACATGTTTAAGCAGTACTTTTGTACCGACATGTATATAGAATAAACTATGCATGATATTAATCAAAAGCCGAAAAGTTCATGTTTTATCACATAGTTCACTGGGCTGGGCCCCAGCTGAGTCAGTGTTTCAAGCCACGGTGACCCCACAGCTCAGCACTGATCAGTATGCGTGTGTACTCCAGATACCCCCCTACCCCCAAAAGGATCCATGTGCTAGTTAGCCCCTACTCTTGATGGGAACTGGATAGTCTTGTCACAAGTCCTGGGATTCTCCAAAAACTTATATGTAGATGATGCACTAGGCAACCTGTTCTGGCTCCACCTCATGAACAGCAGGGCCACACTAATCATACATCACAGGCTGAGAGAGGGGGAGAAACAGGGATTCTGGGTGAACTGTTTGAGGCCCTGTTTGGTGATGCTTGTTAGACATTTTAAGGCTGGTGAAGAAACAGAAATCATTCAAATGGGAAAGAAAGATCTAGCTCAGCTCTGGGAATGAAGAAGAAATCTAAATTTATTCAATGGTGCTCAAGAGAGGTCCTGGAAGATTGGAAAAGGGACAATGTGGTGCCAATCACAAGAAGAGGAGGAGGTAGGATCCGGGAAACTACAGGCTGGTCAGTTTGACCTCAATGCTGGGTAAAACTTTGGATAAAATTATCAAGAAGTCCATGTGTGAGAGACTGGCAGAAGGCATAATGCTGAAGGGTATCCAACACTGTTTCATTGTGGGCAGGTTGTGTCTGACCAACCTTGTCTCCTTCTATGATCAAGTAACAAACTACTTAGATATGGAAGATGCAGTTGATGTCATATACTTGGATTTTAAAAAGGCCTTAGAGATGGTCTCCCATGATGTTTTTATAAAAAAAACTGGGGGATTGTGGGCTGACAAAGTCCACGGTCAGTTAGGTTGGGAACTGGATAAGGGGTCGAACACAGAGCTTGTTAGTGGACAGGTCTGTATCATCTTGGTGGGAGGTAGCTAGTGGGGTCCCGCAGGGTTCAGTTCTTGGCCCCGTGATGTTCAACATCTTTATCAACAATTTAGATGAGGATGTGGAAAGCACACTGGCTAAGTTTGTGGATTATACCAAGTTGTGGGGAAAAGTGGTCACACTAGGGGATAGGACATAGATCCAAGCAGACAGGCTAGAAAGGTGGGTGGAGTAGAACTGGATGCAGTTCAATAAGCATAAATGCAGAGCACTTCATCTGGAAAGAAGTAACCAGCGACATGAATATAGGTTAGGAGGAGATGTCCTGATCAGCACGATGGCCGAAAGGGACTTTAGGGGATCATGGTTGATCACAGGATGAACATGGGCTGCCAGTGCAACACTGCAGTCAACAGAGTTAATAGTATACTAGGATGCATTAGCTGATGCATCGTGA